TCCACGACTCAGACGGTTCTACGAAAACTAGATTAGGAATGATTGGCGATGGGTATTCAACTAGGTATGATACAATGGATCGCGATATATATCAATACGGGCTGTTACACATTAGGTGAAAATGCACACAACCTAAGCCATTCACTTTTCAGAAAATAGGATCACGACAACGAGACAGGGCATCTTTGAAGGATGGATATAGACGGCTGGGGGATACAATCTCGTGGCGCGCCGAGGCATCTCGCCAGGCACTGTCTCTAATAATGAATAATGATGCAAAGGGTTTTCTTTTTTTACCTCGTACTGAACTCTGCATTTAGTAACACGCTCTCCCTTCCTGTTTAAATGTCATCGGTGTTGTGTCCAGTAACTCCAGTTGCACTTCAGATTGCATGCATTGGCTCGATCTCGCAGGCTCTCCTTTTTTCCTTTTCATATTCTTCCTCTCTTAAAACTTTCCTATTTTCTTTCTTGCTATCTACTTTAGACCCTATATTCTTCTTACTTCCCATATGTACTCTACATGTAATTGGAAGCTGATGTTTCCTGAATTTACTCAATTGATTTCTTCTTTTTCTCCCTTCATTTTCTCACACCTTTCAACCTCTTCATTGCTTTTTGTACACACAATCTCTTCTCCTATTTCCAATATTTTCAGCGCACATCTTTTTCTCTTTAGACCTTTCTCTTTCTCTCTCTCTCTCTCTCTCTCTCTCATCCCCCCCCCCCTCTCTCTCTCTCTCTCTCTCTCTCTGACATTGTCTATATTTCCTCCATCCCTGTTCTTACCCTCTACCCCTCCCCCTTTCCTCTATCATTCTCTCCTATACTCTTTTCTAAACCATCTCTCTCTCTCGCTCTTTATCTCTCTATCTACATGTATCTTTCTATCTTTGTCGGCCTGCATGTCTGTCTATATCTGCCTTTATCTCTATGTGTTCTCTCTCTCTCTCTCTCTCTCTCTCTCTCTCCCTCTCCATCTTTCCCTTCCTCTCTCTCTCTTTTCCTCCCTTTCACTCTCCATACCTCTCTAGTTTTTCCTTTTTTACCATTTGTCTATAGATCTCTACCAAAGGCAACACAGAGAGGTCATATCAGTCTATTCAGGCTTGATGAAAACTAGAATGCATTTCCCTCTCATCTCAAATCTGGGCCAGTCGATTAGATTAGTAAATGCTCTAATAAGATAAATATGTACTTCAATGATGACGGACAATACCTTCCATATTCCCAGAGCACTTACCAATTAGCGGCTTGTGCATTCTTATGCAAGCTTCTTTCAACACACTACTGAAAATGTTAACACGTACTAGTCTGCTAGCACACACTCTAATTGACACTTTACTACAATTCCTAAAGCCTTGAGCAGAGCCTAGATATATCAGTCCCAGGCTGTGTCAGAGCCCATTGTAGTCTCTTATTGCAGACACTACTAAGCTCACCGACGGACGAGGATTTGTGCCTCCAAACTCAACATGAATTACCTAGTCCGTGCACATTCCCGCAATGAATACAATGTACACTTGCTCGTTAGGCAGCAGAATCAACATTGTGTACGTGACATTTTCAAGTTCGATGTAGAACATGGAGAAATTTTGCCAATGCATGTGTTTTGTCTGACAATTAATCACATCTTTATTGTACCGTATGCATCTAATTCAGATAAACTTCAACGATAAATAATAATAATAATAATACATAACATTTATTAGGCGCTTAATACTGATGTTTCTAAGCGCACAGTGTTCTGATTAAGAGAAGACTATAACCCGTAGAATTAAATTAGAAGAAAAAGCAAAAATACAAAAGTAACATAGATAAGGTAAAAAAAAAATTAAAAAAAAAGTGGCAATCAACTAAATAAAGACAAATATGGTGCGCACCTCCATTGACCGACGCACAACTGCAATTTACAATTTGAAAAGATAGGTTTTGAGTAGAGATTTGAATTGAGATACAGAGGGGGCGCAGTGAATAAAGGCGGGCAGTTTGTTCCAGAGAGCGGGGGCAATAACTGAAAAGGCGCGGTCACCATACCGGGTGTTAGTGCGGGGTCCAGGTGTTAACAGTAATGTGGAAGATGAACGAAGTGTTCGTGACGACGTACGGGAACGTAAGGATATGAGATCGGAAAGGTAAGAGGGGGCTAAGCCATTGATAGCTTTGTAGCACAGGAGAAGAATTTTGAAGGATATGCGGTGGTGAATTTTAAGCCAATGTAGTGAGTTCAATATTGGAGTTATGTGCTCTGATTTACGCGAGAGAGTCACAAGCCGAGCAGCGCTATTCTGTACCCTTTGAAGTGGGACTAGATGTGACTGAGGGAGGCCAGAAAGAGAAGAATTACAGTAATCGATATGGGTCGAGACAAAAGCATGGACTAATTTTGAAGTTGTGGGTCGGTCAAGTAGCCTCCTGATTCTACTGATCTTATATATACCAAAGGAAGCAGACTTACAAATATTACTAATGTGTTGTTTGAAAGTAAGATTGCTGTCAATATTTAAACCAAGGTCACGCACAGAAGCACAACAACTGAGAGAGCCATCACTCATAACAAGATCAGGAAAGGGGTCTGAGTTCCGAAATTTAGAAGTAATATGAATCATTTCAGATTTTGAATCATTAAGGCAGAGACAGTTTTGAAAAGACCAGGTTTTGATTTCATTGAGGCAACTGGTGAGTTTGTTCGCGGCTACTGTCCTGCTGTTTGGGTGAAGAGTTACATAAATCTGGGTGTCGTCTGCATACATAGTGTGTTGAATGTTCTGATGAAGGTTAATAACATTTGAGAGAGGGCTGGTGTAAAGAATAAACAGGAGGGGGCCGACCACGGAACCCTGAGGAACGCCGCAGATGAGGGGAAATGATTCCGAGTTGGTGTCATTGATGATCACCTTCTGAGTTCGGTGCATGAGATAGGAGCGAATCCACTGAAGTACGGTGCCGGTGATGGAGAAGTCGTTCTCTAAGCGATGGAGTAACAGGTCGTGGTTGATAGTGTCAAATGCGGCAGTGTAATCAAGCAAGATGAGGACAGCTTCATTACCCTTATCTACAGCTAGAAGTAGGTCATTTAGGACCTTGACAGTTGCAGTCTCAGTAGAATGATGATTCCGATAGGCAGATTGGTGGATTGGAAACAAACCGAGATTGTCAATGTGGGCTTTCAGCTGTAGTGACACAATACGTTCCAAAACCTTCCCAAGGAATGGCAGGTTTGCGATGGGCCTGTAGTTCTTAAGTCCATTCGTGTCGAGACTCGGCTTCTTTAGGAGGGGAAGAAGCAGAGAAGTCTTAAAAGACTCTGGAACTATTCCGGATGATAACGAGAGATTGAACAGTTTGGTTATGTGAGGAAGGAGTTCATCGAGGACTTCCTTTAGAAGCCAAGTAGGAATCGGATCTAGCTTACAGTGTTTAGAAGGAAGTGAAGTGATGAGCTTCCTGACTTGTGAGAGGGATACAAGGCAGAAATCAGAGAGTTCATGACGAGGGCCTGGAGCAAAAGATCTTGAAGCTGGTGCTGGTACTACATTAGGGAAAGAGGATACAACTTTGGCGACTTTTTCCCTGAAGAATGTAGCAAATCTGTTGGCGAGTTCACTATCAGAAGAATGATCTGGAAGAGGTGAAGATTGAGTGGGCGTTGAGAGTGTCTTCACAAGACGAAACAGTTCTTTGTGATCAAACTTTTTTCCTTAAATGGTCACATTCTTAAAAAAATAAGCATTACCTCTCTCTCTCTCTTTCCCTTCCTCTTTCTTCTCTCTATCATACCTTTTTGGTTCTTTATTTTCAGCAAGAGCTAAAAAATAAATCTGCACTTCTTTAAAATAATAATACCCAAACTATTACTATTTCTAGGTAGACGTTTTCATTAAAATGACATTTCATATTTTGCATTTGCCTTTATAATACATGTCTGTGTTTTGCGCTGTATAAGTTAATGCACTTAACTAGCATAAACAGTACAGTCGGATGCCCCATCTGGGTGGGGTATTTTTTATTAGAATATTTTAAAAACATGGGGAAATGCATATTTTGTGCTAAATAATTAACTTTGATTCATAAAAAATAAATCACTGCATGTACATTAGCTACCAAAACAGTGATGCATTTTACTGTTCTCAGATATTTTTAACACCTAGAAATATCAAAGTGTGTAGGAAATCAAAATTCTGTGATATAATCAGCTAAACAAGTGCTCTCAAATTGTCAATGTAGTGCTTTATAATTGAGTTCTTTCATAATGGCTAGATCTGGAAAACATCCAATTAGGCCTTTTTTTTTCCTTCCATATCATGGCATATTCGACTTGACAAGACAACTGTCAATGCTATTCCATCCAGGTAAAAAAAATTATATCTAAAAATACCAGTAACCACAAAAATCATGCTTGATTGCTTCTTTGTTCACACTCTCTCTCTCTCTCTCTCTCTCTCTCTTTCTTCATTCCAACATTTTGCAATAACACGCTTGATTCACTATTCATACGTCCTCTAAAATCCATTATTTACATGTAGATGCAGCAGGGGGAAGCTCTGCTCATTAGTATTTATGGTTGGTCAACAACAACAACAACAAAAATCTGTCCAGGGTAATGAAGTGAAAGTGAAACCACCATGAGTCACATAACAATCAAATTGCTCTTATCGGTATGTACTTGAATTATTCCTCCCCCTCCCCCTCCCCCTCCCCCTACAAATCTGCCCAGTTAATGAATTTACTTAGTAAAACTACCCTGAGCCAGATAACAATCAAATTGCTCTTATCAGTAGTGCACTTGAATTATTCCTCCCCCTCCCCCTCCTCCTCCCCTTACCCCTCCCTCCATTTTTTGTTATGACATTCAACTCAGAAAAATCTATTTACAGCAGTAATATTTGAAACTGAATTTTTAAAATAGAGCTACATGTATTTTTGCTTAAATTTCATGCATTTAGGGGGATTGGCACCCTGCATTGACCACAATTAATTTTCAAAAAAATGAGGCTCACCTTTAGGATGTCCAGGACCAGAGGAAGCAGAGTGCTGCTCTATCGACTTGAGGAAACACAGGAGGGGGACGATGGAACGTTGGAATAGCTGACATGTCTTGCTCTCCATCTGACCGGGCTTGAGGTGGGAGATGAGACACTTGTCGGACCGCATCGATGCTAACACTTCACACATACCTATAGAGAGGTGTCGATACAGTGTAAAAAGAAATCTTACAAAGTGTGAAGGTGTTTAGAGGGTAAGTAGACACTTGTTGGACAGCACTGGCGCTAAGTCACTAACACTTCATAGATTAATGTACCTGTAAAGAGGTGTATATAGAGTGTAGAAATTACAGTGCACAGAGAACAGTCAGTACATATTATCATTAAGAGTATTAAAGTGTATCTATAGAGAGGTGTAAATACATTGTAAAAATAAGTCTTAAAAAGTGTGAAGGTAAGTAGACCATTGTTATACTACGTCGATACTAGCACTTCATACATATATATGAAAAGAGGTGTAACTAGAGTGCAAATAAGCCTCAGTAAAAAGCAAGATTGGACACCTGTCCGAGTGTATCTAGAGCACTTTAAACCACCAGAAAATAGGGTTTAAAAAATGGCATGTGTTGAGAGTGAGACAAAAAGGAATTGTTAAAATAAATTTATTGATCTAATATAATCCTACAATTAGTAACAACCAATTTTTATCAATGAAAGACACAATTAGCATAAAAAAGTGATTAAACCTGTATCTGTAAGCATTGCTGATGTATCAAGTTCTATATAAACCCAGAATATTATCATTATTATCCTCCAAGTGTCTAGGATTATTGATTTCTATCTGTAGTTTTTACAAGCCTTACCTCTGTCCCATGCTGCTAATACAGTCCTGAGTTGCAGCGATGTGGCAAGGCTGTGCATAGCCTTGAGAGCACCTTGCGACAAACGATTCTTTTGTTCTGAAAAGTGACAAATGAGAAAAATGATTCCACTATTATTTCTAAAATCAGGGGCTGGCGTTGGGATTAGAGATAGGATTAGGGTTTTGGTTAGGGATAGGGTTAGGGTTAGGTTTACATGGTTATAGAAAGGGTAATCATACATTCAGTTCCCAATTCCATTCTTAACATACAGGACGAACCAAAACATGAAGGACAAAAAAGGTATAATGCATATTATTACAATACGAAAAATATATTGCCACGAGAATGGCAGTGGATAGGTGCAGTACACGTTTGTCTACATGTAACCAAAGAAACTCATCTACCTCTGTGTAAAATGGTGGTTTTTAATGTTTGTTTGTTGCTTTGTTGTGATTGTTCATAATCTTTAATAAGAAATATCTGTTTAATTCAGCCTATAATTGATTACCATTACCTCTCATGTCCGTACCTCTTCTTTTGTACTTTTGTCTATTTATCATGTATTTCATCTTTTGCACAAGTTGCGTCTATTAGATTGTCAAGTGGATTTGGCTCCTTGCAAATCCTATGTATTATCATTACCGAGGCATTCCTGAATCAACCATGTACTATACAAAAACTTCTACAATTTTATCATTATCATTTCAAAATGCCACTGCAAATGTACAGTGTACCCTTCATAAACTTTCAAGCATTTGCAAATAAAACAAATTTCAAAAAATAATTACAAATGATCAAAAACATGTTGCCTCTATGCCAATCCCTCCTTGCAGCATGCTTGAGGTTCGAGAGCATCCTATTATCTGAGGCTTCAAAACCGCCTCATCTCCCTATCATCAAAGTAATGAGATTATCTCCCCTTCATATCTCATACAAACAATGAGACTTGATCTGTTTAAATTTGAACTCTGTTGAAATCTAAAACCAGATCAGTCATGCAATATATGCTTGTTTAAGGTGATTTCTATCTCTGCATCTGCTATCTGCTGATATATGTTATTCACCTGTATTGGTACTTCTATCTTTTAACATGTTTTTGTGTGATTTGTTCTTAGGGTGATCTACATGTATGTCGGCGTTGTGGCGTGCGCCTGTAATACAGCTAACAGTGGAAATTACAAACTGATTCAGCCGAGGATGCAGGTTCGAAACTGAGTCACGTATTTTGGATGGTGATGTTAAAGGTCGGTCCCCAGACGTAAATAATCATATCTGATCGATACACGTCTGTAAAAACCATATACACACACACACACACCAGCTAGGAAAACACAAAGAAGTTTCACCTGGGACTTAACATATCTTACACAATGTGCAATATCCTGTAATCTCATATTTTCAGTTTTCTTTTCAAGCCATTTTTGACAAAATTGCAAAAAAAATCATTGATTTTTACTTCAAAAATACCCTTGAATGAAAGCTTGTAATTTGCTGAGTGGTAAGATGGCATTGTTTAGGCAAGGGCAGGGCAAGCACTATGTGAAACTGTTTGGGGGAGCGTAGTCAAATCGGTGAGTTGCATAAAACTGTTTCGATATTATTTTTCAATATGCCGTGGGCAATACATCTTTGTACCAAAATTCTCAAAAGAGCTTCCATAAAATGGAGAAAAAGTTCACAAAAAATAGTTTAGTCCAAGAAATAAAAAAAACAGAAGCTTCTCAACAATCGAATTCTATTTTTCACTCTACCTCTTCTGCTTCTGTCTCTCTTCCTCATTTATTATTTCCCAACTATTGTTGAATGCAGAGGTCTACAATGCATGTCACTCTATTCTAGTGTTTTTCTCTAACATTCTGATTGGGTTTTAACTGAAATCAATATGACCGCTAGACGACCCATCTTCATGCAAACAAAGGATGCCCAAGAAGGCTGCATCCTCAAGTGACGCTAAATGGAAAACACCAGAGTATGGAAATGTCAATGGAAATCAAATTGCGATCATTTGCTGGAATGTCAGATTCTCGTGACGAGTGGGGTCGCCTTTCGAAAACTGCCAAGTCGGAGCTCTCGATCAAAACACCTGTATTGATTACAATTCTAGCTTGATGCAATGTCAGATCTGTCAAGAAAATTCCTAACTAGCATGTGCATGTTTGTATACTACACTTGAAGCCCATTATCATTATATGAATGAAAGGTAGCTTTGGACAATTCCCTATCAGGACATTTAAAATATTCAAATTCAAGTTTGTTTTTGATTGACGTTTTAATGCCTTAAAGATAAGCTTGAGTTCTGGTAATGATAGAAAATATATTCTCACAGAATCAAACAAAACTCACATTGAATATTCTGCTATTCAAGATTTGGCCGTGTTTCTGCTGGGAAGGGGGCTAGCGCTACAATCTAATAGCACATGATTCTCTTGATTTCTTTAACAAATATTAACATGATACTAACATTTTGAGATGAACATCATTCCTTAATTATAATGTCTTCGACATGTATGTGAAATAATTTACCTTTGGTACAAGATGACTCCATGACCCAAACTATTGTTAAGGCTGCAAGGTCATCCACCTGCGATACATGACCCAAGACCTCATCGACATGATCCATGCCTTTGGACTTCCAAAGGACCTGCTGCAGTCCATTTGCCAAGTTGGCCCCAAACTCCTGCCACAGCTGCTCAAAATAGAGTCCACAGAGCTGTTGCCTGGTCCCCTGGGTCAGGGAGTCGCCCCATCGGACTGACTTCCGCTGGGAGGTGTCCCGGGCCTTCAGTCCGCTTCCATTGCTAGACGAGGAAGGCCCTGATGCCTTCGACTTCCGGTCCACTGCGACCTGCTTGTCCCTGGTGGTCTTGACCACCTGTCTCTGCAGGAGATTGGTCGACGTTGCAACCGCTCCAAGAAGCTTCACAATGAATTCCTCCTCGTACATTTCAACATGGCTGAGGGGAGAATTCCTCCCTGATAGGTCCAAAGCTTTGTTGTCCTTTAGATCCCACATTGCACTTAATACAGGGCTACTTGATGCGAAGGATACAGAGGCTGTCTCACTATCCGTCTCTTCTGGGCAGCTTTCAGATAAGCTATTGAAGTACTCCTGCCAGTCAAAGAAGAAGCCAGGTGTTTTGACAGCAGAGAGCAATTTGGAGTTGGCTGTAAGGAAATTAAGTGTTCTGATCGCGACCGGGCGTGACCTTTCCTTTGCCAAGATGGTCAGTAGACGATTGCACGTGTAGGGCATACAGGAGACAACAGCGCCCTCTGTGTCCAAGAATGGGCTTTTCTGCGCTGAAGAATTTGATGATTCTGATGATTCTGATGATTCTGATGATGATGATAAGAACAAAAAACGCTCAAACAGAACTATAGGTCTTGCTAGCAGTCTATTGAACTCTTCCATACCACGCCCTACATTAAACAAGAGTTCTTGTGACATGGAACTTGCATGGTTAAACGCTAGCACCCGAATACCTGTGTATATTAACCTATGTAACCACAACAGGACACAGTCTCTCCAGTAATAAAGCGTGTTGCTCATATTCATAAGGTCCAAGCGAAGTTGCGGGAGAAGCAATTGCAACCATTTGTCCGAATGCAGCTGATGTTGAATCGAAGACCAATCATTGAGCTGTATCCGTAAGTGTTCACATAGCCTTGGCAAATACTCTAGTTTTGTGGTCGGGTCTGAACATTCACAATTCTCCAGGGATTTCAAGGTAGTCTGTTCAGCCAGAACCAACCCCTGGATGCTCGTCACCAGCTCACGCAGCTGCGACGCCCTGTACATGCAGTCTCTGATGAGCTGCAGACGCGCCCTTTGCAACAAAAGCGCATGCAGATCCGAGTAATGATGAGCTATTGACACACTGTACTTGTTGTGAATGAATGCCGAAGATACCCTTCCGCGGGTACGGAGGCAAGGTCTGTTCTGTGGCTTCAAGAGCTCAAAGCATTCCTCAAGGATCTGTACACTATGTGAGATCTCCTCCTTGGAGTACTGCGGTAGACCTTGTGGTGTATTCCGGGTTTTGAGTCTTGGTGTCGGTACCGGTGCAGCTGCTGCTGTAGCAATGGTGGGTAGCAATTCTCCTTGAGGGGTGCCGGGAGATGGTGGCGGGGTGTCCAGGTCAAGGGCTGGGGTACCATGGAGGACTTGAAGGGGTGGTAGGCGACGCACAGGAGGTTCCACCATTGTGCCACCCGGATCCATTTTGTTATGACATCAATCTGAAGGGAAATAAAAAGAGAGGAGAAAAGAATAATGTCTTAATATACACTGCTACTGTATCATAAAACTTACTGGTACATGATAGCATTCTGTAAATATGAGACTTCCAATTCAAACCATGTCGTTAATGATGATTTTATGATTAAAACTTTTAAAATTGAAACAAGTCAAATTTAGCATACAATGCAAATGTAATCTGTTTATGACATAGTTGCTTACTTTCCATAGAATACAGGTGAAACCTATTCCACTTGTACATAATAAAGGCCCCCTGTCTATACGCACAGATAGTTTCCCATGCAAGAGTTGGCCTTTCTAGACAGGTTTTACCATACATGTACATGTACAGTAATGTACAGTACATGTAATTCTTTAAAATTCTTAAAATCCTTTCATGCATAATTTTGTAAAAACAGGAAAACAAAATAAACTAATACGCATCTATAACAAAGATTTTGCACCTCTCCCACTGGTACATTACAGTACATTATGTTTACAGTGTCCAATATACTGCACTTCCATGCAGTGCTCTGTCAACGGTGCAAATACTGGCGCTGAGAGAGAATCACTCTGCCTATATCATTTATGGTTGATTAGAAAAGATCCATCACTGCATGTTCCTTCAAGAGACAGACAAGATGCTTCTAAATTGATTTGTGTGATGAAGACAACACCGTGGGAGCATTCACACTCCAAGCAAAAACCATCGGGTTCATTCAAATTTTGGTGTTTTGTTAGAAGTTGCTAGACAAGTCTAACCATAAACACAATGACAACCCCCGAATCGAATAACCCACATCTGGAGTGTGTGTTTTTTTTTGGATGCCAGCCGAAACTCTGCTAGTTTCTGTGGCGTAAATGCTTGCTCTCAAAATCCAATCCAAAAGATATTTGATATACCACCTATTCTTTGCAGTTACTGTACAAAGCGCTGCACACACCGCTCCACAATATTTGGGCCACTTAACAAAATTTAGTCACTTCTCAGAGATCAGTCAAGTATATGTAGGCTGGTAATAAAGTAATTTCTAGCAGAATAGATGTGACTTGAGTAATTTCTTGACGTGGTCAACAGATGAGGCCGCCTGCACAGCAGTAGGTAGCAAAACACTAGTGAATTATTCTGGTTTTTGGTCAAATGACTCTCCTCGCTTCTGTGCTTATAAGCCATGTAGAGCAGTGACAAGTGGTATATGTGTACAACTAAATAGAAAAACAGAATAATCAAACACTGATGTGTTTTATGGGTTTTTCCAGGAGTGCAAAACTGCAAATGGTAGTTCAAAAATACCGATGGTTCTGTAAATTGGATTTTCTACAATGTGAATGAGGCTCCTGTTTACCCTGCCCCCACATTAACGGTTTTTCCCTTCAATCTACAAACCCGGCGTAGTGTAAATGATATGATGGGAATCGCCATAGCGGAAGAAAAAAAAGAAGAAAAAGGGAAGATGGAAAGAGAAGTCAGTTAGAGAGTGCATGAGCAGGTGGGGAGATGAGGGAGACAAAAGTAAATTTAGCATATATGGACCATTCAATATTAATAAGTGGGATATATAGAGTACCAACGTGCTAACCTCATATTCGCTCGTCATCCAGCTAACTGGCGCTTAACAACAGAGGCTGCACATGAGGTTCACCCTAAAATCTTTCAAGCAACAAATTGGAGCAGGGCAAATTCAGTGTTTGGGGCTGCATGGTGCGATCAACATGGCACACCATTGTTTTGCACAAAACTGCACAAAAACTGCACAAAAACAGCAACCATGACAACTTGGCCAGTATGACATCACACTTTGCCACTCTATTGTTGTGGTAGCAATGCCTTTGTTGTTTGAAACAAAGATTGGTAATCTACTGGACATTAAAAGCTGGACCACTTTTTATTAGCAAGATTGGATATATGATCTTTTTTTAATGTTAAGTTCCTCCGAAATTTATCATACACTACTTCAAAATCAAAAGTACATGTACAGTACATGGACCGGTAGTTTACCATTTAAAAAGTCAAGTCTGCATATTAAGACCGCTCAAGAGAGACAAGAAAAGTGTTTTTCATGAGCAGGTGTTCTTTATTTAATACAGGTTCCTATGACACAAGTTTCATTGGGAAACCCTGCTCAATGGGAAACAAAAGATGCGGTCTCTGTAGACAGGTGGTCTTTCTATACAAGCGGACGCTACGGCAGGTTTGACTGTAGATGTATTCTCATCGGTTGATAGTGGGCTGGCTGCACAAAGCGGACCGTGCTCCTCTTTAAAGCATTATTCATAAGCATGTTCTTAGAGCAAGGTGTTATTCTGCCTCAAGCCGCATAACAGAACAGGATATCTGAACGTCTTGACCCCAATTGTACATCCAGGTCGCGGCTTATCAATGTTTCATTTGATACGGACGAGAAGGCATGTACATGTAAATGATACTGAAGAACATGCAATCATGTGTGGGTAAATTTCAACTTCATCTGAAAAAATGTAACTCTTAATAAACGTGTACTTGCAAAGTAAAGTACTGTGAGTATAAACCAACATGTAGAGCTTAAATGTACACTGTAGCAGCTAGTATACAGATCACAACACAAACAGGGATGGGGGTCACAGGCCCCAAATTTCACTATTTCTGAATTCCAAGAGGGTTCCATGAATACAGACAGACCTTTAAAAAAACTGCAATCCATAGGCCTATCCTCGTGAAAAAAAATATAATGCAGCCTTCAGTATGCATTTCAACATGTATTTTGTAATAATAATAACAAAAATGTCAACTTAATGGACCTTCCATTTTATTAAGTAAATGCAATTAGAACTTCAACACTTGCCAAGGGGGGCAAATTACACCTATATCTAAGCAATACAGTTCAACCCCAACCCCTACCCCCTTTCCCCTGGCATGGGTAATTCCTGAAATGCCCCTGATATATTATACAGGGCTTGACATTAAAAGTTACCCATTGCACTTTGATCCCTATAATAAACTCTAACTCTAGACCCCTAAATTTCAACATTTTAACATATAAATCCTTAAAACATTTATTCCTGCTCTTCCCCCCCCCCCCCACCCCCACCCTGTGAAAAAATATTATGGAGCATAATGGTTCGTTAGGAACCTAGTTACAATTATTCAAGTTGTCTGGAGGAAAAGAGGCTGGCTAAAAAAAGAAGTATTTCACATAATCTGCTCCTCAGTCTTTCAGAGCCTCCAGGGAACTCCATCTCATCTTCGTCTGAAGAGGCTGTGCAATCTTGCGGCCGCTGAGCGCAAGCAACGTTCACCAGCGCCAGCAAACGATGGCCATACTTGTGATTTCATTAATGCTCTCTCGCTTTCACGGTCATTAATTATTTCTTGCAAAAGGGCAGATCCCTATGGGCGATGTTTTGACAGTGTAGTAGGATTACATGCGCCGCACCGCTCCTTCATAACTGCCCCGGCGAGAAGTTTGACGCATTAAGCATCATGAGAGGATAATGAGGAGAGAAAGAGGGGAGAAAGGGGGAGGGAGAGAGAGGAGGGAGAGGAACAGAAAAGTTTGATAAACAGTGAACCAGTTTATGATCAGAGATCCACAAAGAGGGATGACATACATGCATGATGGATAAGTGATAGAGATAGAATGCAACATAGACACATGCAGAGATAAATATAGAGAGAGGGAAAGCACAGACAGAGACAGAAAGAGAAAGAGAGAGAGAGAGAGAGAGAGAGAGGAGAGACAGAAAGAAAGAGAAAGAGAGAACAAGAGAGAGAGAAAGAACAGACAGAGAGATACAGAGAGGAGAAACAGAGAGCATCAGAGAGACATTTGAGAGACATAGCAGAGTACAAGAAAGGAAGAGAGAAAGATGGAGAGAGGGGGAGGGAGAAAGAAAGAAAGAAAGAAGGAAAGATTGAAGAGCACAGGAATTATTAATGGTTGAAAAATAATCATTTTGAAACGGGCTGATCGAGAGCCTGAGAACAATTTTGACAGGATAACATCTCTATTAAATCAGTTGCTAGGAAATGCAAGTGTCATACATTACCTTAATGGGAATTTAGGTTTGCCATTAATGAATAATTGCCTAAAGTATATTACTGTATATCTTGTAATAAACACCATAACAGCACAATATACGCAAATTGCCCATTAATTGCCCATTAAAAAAACGGTACATACAGTACATGTACACAGCCCTTCTGTCATCTACTATTAACTTCAGGCTGTCTCTTCCTATCTTTCAATCCTTAATTCTTGGTTTTGTTTTCCCCATGTTCCTCACTTTCTTATCTCCTGAAAATCATTTCTCCGCCCTTTCCATACACGTAGTATGAAGTATGGGGGATAAAGCGAGAAGACAGAAGTCTTTTATGAAAAGCTAATCTTCCTATAGATAAAAAAAAAAACATTTTACTTATTCCGAGAGATTTATTATATTCTTGCCCATTAATCTACAAGATTCCCCACCAAGGTGTATGAGAGGGACATAAAGCATGAATAATGTAAAGTTTCTCAGCACAACAAAAAAATGCCATTTTCTTGATCGTTTATCAAGTCGTTTATCAAGTAAATGTATTCAAATCTATGGATGCTTCCTTCCCAGGTGTGTGTGGTGATGAAGCATTTCATTCACCTGCTATCATCCTTTGTACTACAATTGCGGGAATGCAATTGCATAAATAACTTGGTTCTCTTTTGGTGTGAAGGTTTCTCATAAATGAAATAGATTTGTAAACTACTATATTTTAGTATTTTCAAATGAATTAGTTACAATTGTAAACCTCTTATCTATCTTCTCAGCTATGAATTTTCCTTGTTAAAAAAAGTCATTCCAAATAAAAAAAACGCTTGGTGCATGATGTTTAGCTTCAACTGGTACGTCACATTTTTAAGAAAATGGCTTAGCCCATGTCATATCATGCTAAAAGGCATCACATCATGCTAAATATCTTCATTCATATATCTCTTGTACATTTCCGCAAGGAATCTTGTACATCAAGCGCAGAATACATCTCATTTTT